TTTTTGAGACAAGGTCTCGCTATGCAGTTCAGGCTGACCCATTTGTTAAAGTTCTTAATAACTGCTTTTGCACATAAGTTTTTGTGCATATAATGAATAGTTTTCACCACATGCTCCTCGATCATCATACATTTCATTCCTGCGGTGATGCTTTTATATTTATGACCCATCTGATTGAGTGAATCGAAGCATACACACAGCCATACATGAGGCATGATGTCAGGGTGACCTGTGTATCCTATGATCATGAGTCATGGACAAGCTCAGGGGTGCCAGAAATGATCTTGAAATAGGTATTTGACTGTTTGTCCTTTCAGAGGCTGAGGCCTGCATCCAGAAGCTAACGCCAAACCATAGGTTTTGGGCAGATAGGGCAGTTGAAGCTGAAATTGATGGATCCCTGACAGATATGGTTGGGTAAGAACCTGCATCCTGCTCTATTAACTCACCCTTAGCATTTTCCTATACCTATTGTTCTTTAAAATTATATTTAATGGGCAAATGATTTTTACCTGCCTGGTCATTCCATAATTTATCAGCTTTTGTCTTTGTGTCAGGCATGTTTGTTCCTTTGGTCCTGCTCAACTCATACTATCTCTGGACACTGCCTTGCATCTGGGTTGTTTCTCTGTCCCTTCGCATTATACCCTTAGCCAGTGTACAGAGGCCCCCATGGTAAAGAAGAACTGGGCTCCCCCTTTTGTACAAGAGGACCTCTTGGGTGATGGGAGATGGCTTACCCCTCCTGCTGGCTCCCAGGCTCCGCTCCACAAGCAGGTTCTCCTCCGAGTAGTGCTGGTCTACCTCCTCCACCCCGTGGTCCTTCTGTTTGTGGATGTGGGGAATCAGACCTTGAGCCCTTCACACAGCTGCCGGCCAGCAACCCACGCCTGTGCTTTCTCCTGGGGCCTCCCTTGCCTTGCTGGGCTCCTGGTTCCCTGGGCTCAGGCCTTGGAAGGCCACACTTTAGGTTTTGGGCCAGGCTCTCTCTGACCCTTCTTGGAGGCAGTTCTGCCTTGGGATACCAGGATTCCAGCCCAGGCATTGCAGCTTTTGTTCTGTGTGGCTGATGGCCCCCACCCTGCCCTGTTGGCTGGTGGCTGTCAGGCTGCTAGACTGGCTCAAGCACGAGACAACATGTGGGTAGATGTGGCATCGTGGTCAGACTCTGGCTCCTACATTGCCTTTCCCAAACTGGGCCTCATGGACCATGGTACCTTGGACAGTAACTTCCACCTCTCTTCCCTGGGTGCTGCTGCTTTCCTCTCCTTGCTGGGTCGGTGCTGTTTCCTGTTTTCATAACATCCTCACACAATTGCCAGCACAGCAACAAAGGAAGGTGGAGTTGGTGGCCCTAGACATATGCACAGGGGCCAGGAGCCAATGCCTCCATTGCTGGCTGAGGCAGGCGTCTCTCTCTCCCTGCCACCTTGGGATGGGCCTGTTCCCTAATGCTAGAGCCGCCTGCCTGCTCAGAGGGGCTCAGGCCAGCCCCCAGGGGCTGTCCAGTTCGGAGGCAGTTGAGGAGGCAGTGCCTCCTTTCCTGAATTCAGTGACTACCCCTTCCCATTTCTGCCACCTCTGGCCCTACTGCAGAGCCCTGGGCCCAGCCTCCAGTGGGGTGGGGCATCGTGGAGAGGCATACACAGCTGGTTACGGCCTGGCCAGGACCTGAGCCCAGAGCCCTGGATGTCCAGGCTGATGATTGCTCTGTACATTGAGCTGTGAAATTCCCACCCCCATGACGATCTTTGGAAAGCCGCCTGTCCTGCCTCCCATCCAGAAGTGGAAGGGATTCTCCCTGTGTACATGTCAAGAAAAATCCTTCCTGGTCTTGCACGGAAACCTTTTGGTAAGGAATCTAGATATTTTAAGTGTGTATTTGTTATGGTTGCACAGGAAATCCAAGGAACGGGTTTTTCAGAACCTAAGCAGTTAATGCTGGAAATTTTGCTGCAAATAAATTGATCAGTATGCAAGACAGTTGTCACGGCTGAATCATGGTCCACAGTTAAGGTAAACAGATCTGTGATGACATTTTCTGAGCAGAATACAAATGCAGCCACATTTCCTCCCAGAGGTTCCTGACATTTCTTCTACTCGGAGAGAGGAGATTCTGCTAAGAAGGTGTTGGTCACAAGGAAGAAGGATCTTTGTTTAATCCCTCTGAAAAGGTAGGGCTGTGCTATTTGATGTGCTTTCTGGGAAGAGAATTGTTCTGAGAGAGCCGGATGTTGGGGAGACTGCTTTTCCTTGGTTAACTGCCTCCCCTCCTCTCCCACCCATGGAGAGAGCCTTTAGCTTTTTATTTATCTGAATAATCATTACACTATCATATGTGGTCTCATTGTGAAAGTTTGCATTGCATTAGTTTTTTCTCAATGTGAAGATCAAGGTACAAGGATCAAGAAATATTTTCCTTGTTTGAATTCACATGGAAGAGTGGGAGGCACAAGATGTCTTTTTTTTCATGTTCTTTTCTTCTTTTCATCTTACTGCTCTCAAGTTTCGCCATTTTCCAGGTTTTTCCTAGCTGTGCCTTGATATAGGAATTCTGCACAATATGTCTGCATTTGAAATGTGATATCCTCTGTGGCTGGATGCTGCTTCCGAAGCCAGATATGTTCTCTGTATCATGGTGAATCTTGCAAAATCCTCAGCTTATGTTTCTTTTAGAATGAGCTTGAAACCCCACTGCCACTGTGCCGAAGGAAGGACAGTCTGCCCCCCGTACAGTGGGAAGCGCAGCTTGGGGTGGGGGAGATATTTGCATTGAGGTCTGGTGGCAGTGGACGCAGGTGTTTCTGTCTGTCTGTGCACTTGCTACTGGCTATGACCAGGGACCCGAGCAGAGCGCCATTTACAGCAGGTGCACTTGAGGTGGGGGTTGCAGCTGGGGTAAAGGGCCAGAAAGCTCCAGGACAGGACATGAGCAAGACGTCTCCTGAGTGTGTCTGCTCAGAAGGTCAGGAGCAGTGGAAGGAGTGCATTTGGGAAGAGCGTCTTTTATACTGTGCTCACTGCTGCCCTGGCATCCCTGAGGTCTACTGCCGATCAGCGCCGGGTGCTTCCTCCAGGAAGCCTGCTTGGACCTTCCAGTCATCTCATCTCTCCAGCAGGCACTCGCAGTGTGAAGCCGCCCAGCCGCACGTCTGCACCACGCCCCATCTTGGACCTTGTCTCTAACTGTGCAGCTTTAGCACAGCCCTTGGCTCCACATGGAAGCCTCACAGATGTTGCTAGTAGTGCAGACAGGCCCCACGTCCTTGTGGCAGCCTCCAAGGAAGGGAGGAGTGTCCTGTCAGCTGCATTTCTTAATTGGAGGATAGATGAGAAACTGAGTCAGGTGGTTGTGAGGTGAGGACCGGAAGCAGGCTTCTGTGGGCCCTGGCCCTTGGGGTTCAGGGAGGAGAAAGGCGGGTGCTCATGCCCCTGCCTGCTGCCACGCCCTGGCACCAGCCTGGGCGCTGGGGAGAGGCACACAGGCAGCGGTGCACCCTACGCTTTCTGCTCGAGATGCTTTCTGCCCTGAGCAGTGGAGGAGGATCAGGTGACCAGGGCTTTTTAGAGCTTTCCCTTTTTGGGCCCCGACGCTGACACACTGTTATTGGAGGCGGTGACGTCACCTCCTTCCTCTTCATGGTGCCACCATTTCTGCCCTGCCATCTCTTACCCGGGCAGCCATGACCCACATGCCTTCCTGGAAGCACAGGTAAATGGGCCCCAGGGGCCAGGCCTGCCCCAGGGCTTGAAAACAGGCATTTCTGAAAAGTGAAGTTGGAGTTGGATCTGAATGGATGAGGAGTGAGCTGGGTGAAAAGAGGAGAGTTTTCTTGCTGGAGGACAGAGCATGTGCAAAGGCCCTGAGGTGGAGGGGGGGCATGGTGTGTTCGAGACTGGTGGGGCAGCGTGGGGGAGCTTGTGGTAGGAGAGAGGGCAGAAGGGGTGGGCAGGCACTGGGCGACAGGGACAGGGAGCTCTGCACTGTGAAAGATAAGGAGTACATGAAAGGACTTGCGGCTGCCTGTCCCCTCTGTGAGGGCAGAGCAGGAAGATGGTGGGCCTGAGGCAAGCCAGCAGCTGGCCAGGGTGGGGAGGCTGCAGGAGATGACGGTGGGACTTGGAGGAGGGCCGGGGTCATCCTCGGAGGTGCTGTAGATGCCCCGGGCCTGGGGGAGAGAGGAGGCTGGCTGCCTGGGGTCCAAAAGTCGAGCCACAGCGGCCCGGGGCAGGAGGCCTGGGACGGGGCACCTGGAGAGCAGGACAGAGGTGTGAAGCCGAAAGGCGGGGGCAGCAGAGGTGACTGCCAGTCCTGCTGTGAGGTAATGGTGACTCTCGAGTGGCCCTGTTGTGGCCCTGGGGTAACGGGGGCTCTCAAGTGGGCGGCAGGGGCCATGTGACAGAAGGGGCAGGGGCGGTGCTGGGTGTTCGTGCAAGGGAAAGCTCTGTGTCTGTGCCCCAGGTAGTGTGTGTGTGTGTGTGTGTGTGTGTGTGTGTGTGTGTGTGTGAAGCTCTGTGCGGTGGCTGGGGAGGGCCGTGGAGGCTAGGCAGTGGGCAGGAGACTCGGCTCAGCACTGCTGTATTCTCGGGGCTGAGGCCTGGCCTGTGACCACCACTCCGAGTAGGTCGGCTGCACCCCAGAGCCGCAAAGAGGCAACCCGGGGTGCAGCATTCCCCAGGCGAGCACTTCAGGAGGGGCCAGAGTGGGCTGCTACCCACCTGCACCCCTGTGAATCAGAGCCAAAGAGCAAAATCAGAAGTGACGCCATTCCTCGGGGTAAAGAAGGCACAGTAGGCTTTGTTAGCATCTCCGGTGAGCATGTCTTCACCTGCACATACGTGTGTTCTTGTTCTGCTGGGCATCACGCGGATCCTTTGATCACTTTGATCCTTGTTACTGTGGAAGGTTCGGACTGTTACTATCCCCATTTTATAAATAGGAAACAGAGGCATAGGGCTGTTATGTGCACAGGGGTTATGTAAACATCACACACGCGCACACACACACACACACACACACACACACGTACATAATGTCTATTTGGAAAGACACATTTTTCTTGGAGAAAAGTAATAAGGGAGAGGGAAAATTACTTTTGCCAAACACAAGAATAAATGATCTTCCATCTTCACAGTAACTGTCTTTTCCTTATTTGTAGATGAAGCACCCGAAACCTAGCAAGTTTCAGCAGCTTCCCTGTGACCCACAGCTGGATTGAGGGACTGCTGAGTGTGGACATTTCCTGTGCACCGTGCAACCTCCATCCGGGCTGTGACCGAGTCCCAGTGTTAAGGGTGTCCCTTGTACTGGAGTGGGGTCTGGTGGGCTACCTGGCCTTACCCAGGCACCATGAGGGGGAAGATCCTCTGGTGCGTGGCATCCCTGTGTGGCCAGGGCATGGTGTGACCTCACTCTGAGGAGTACTCGTGTCACATCTGCCTTACAGATGGGTGGGCATAAAGCCCAGTGTGGAGGTGGCAGGTGCTGGGGACACAGGTGGCTCTTGTGTCATGAGTCAGCTGTTCATTGCTATGATAGAATACCTGAGGAAAACAGTTTAAAACAGGAAAGGTTTGTTTGGGCTCAAGGTTTCAGGGGTTAGTCCATGGTTGGCTGGCTCCAGTGCTTTGGTCCAGGGGTCAGGCCGTGTGTGGAGGAAGAGGAGGGCCAGGGATGAATTACACCCTTCAGGGGGGTGTCCCTGATGACCCACCCCTCTTGTGCAGCTGCCTTCTAGTCTGCCCCACCACTGGCCATTCAGTTATGGACCAGCAGTGGACTAACCTGATCTCAAGGTCAGAGTCTTCATGGCCTGGTTGCTTCCCCAAAGCCCCTTCTGGTTACTGTGCCTGGGGAGCAGGCCTGCTGCACATGGGGTTGTAGTGGGGATTTGATGCCCAAACCATGAATGCACTCATATCAGTCTTGGTGCAGACAAAATTTTACCCTCCTATGAAGCCAGTCCGTTCCGCCGTTGGACACTGCTGTTATTAAGAGAGTCCCCTTCCTCAGCTCTGTCTGTTCATTCATTACTTCTGGCTCTGCAGCTACGTATGCATTCTACTGTGCCTTCTATGGGAAACAGCTTGGAAATATTTATTATTCTATTTGTGATCATTCTATTAGCACATCACTAATTAACATTAAAATAACACATGGCCCCTGGGGAAAAACTCTAGGATATTCAAAAAAGAAAAAGAACTTTTGGGAGAAAATAAACCATCCAGCATTTTTGAAATAGCTAAGTTTAAAAAGTATACTTTTACCTGCTGGCTGTCTTTTTTGTGTGTGTGACACACACACACATACCCCTTTCCCATATCGTCCTCAGACCTTCTTGTGAGGCCTGGACCCTTTAATGTGTCTTGATTTGTGGGGCCAAGCTGTCTTCCAAAGAAGGCTGTCTTCTTTTTAAAAAAAATTTAACTGTTTTACTGTTCTAATAATTCTACTGTTCTCTGTAAACTTAATTTAGTTGAATTTTGCCTTAGCTGCCACAGTTTTTCATAACGTACCTAATGTTTGAACATACTATAGTAGAAAGTTCACCGGCCATTGAATTTGATTTTGGTATAATTCTGTTTTGTCCACCTCCCCCTAACACACAAGGGGGGATTGAGCCCTGAGCCATCTTCTTGTACCCCGGCTTCGTGTACCCTAGCTTCCAGCTGTGACTGCAGCCACTGCTCACTCTGTGGGGACCTGAGGTGGCCACCCTACAGCAGTTTCCTCCTGTACAGCGTGCTGGCCCTGTCGCCCTTTTCTTTGTTCGTGTGTGAAATTCTGCCCTGGAATAATCCTGCAGGGTCCTCCCAGCCTGACTCCATCGGTTCCAGCTTCATTCTCCGCTTGGTCCAGGCCCTGCCTTTGGGACTGTCACAGCTGCCCTGGTGAGGAGCCTTGCTCCAGCCACCTCCCCTGGAGTCCCAGAGCTCTGCTTGCGTGGGCACCAGTCAGAGAAGAGCTGTGGGGTTTGCAAAGTAGGTAGGCACCATCCCATGGGGAGGCCCCTGATGGCACATGGCCTTGGATGATTGAGGAGCAAGAGTTTGCCTTATTTCTGTGTGAATTTTAAAACCAAGATTAGAGAAAACATTTAACCTTTAAGGTGAATCTCAGCCTCATGGATAACATCTTCCTTCTCGTTTATTTAGTATCTAGAACAACTAGTTTCGTTACCAACATGGCATTCAATAAAATGAGACAGCCATTTCTTAAATAAACTTCAAAAAGCAGGCACAGACCAGATTTCATTGGTAACCCAAAGAATGTCTGTTTTAAACCTGCAGCTTTTAAACTCAAGGACCACGCAAACCTTTACCTTTGCCATAATCATACTTTTAATTACTGCCGGTTGAGTGTTTATTTTATTCCAGGCACTGTGTTAGGCTTATTTTTGAAACCACTGTGCAAAGCAGTTGTCATGAACATTTACAGATGGCCCTTTGGCCGGGATTGTCTGAGTCACTCCAGCAGCCAGGAAGAGCTCACAGGCTGAGACTTCACAGGCCTTTGTTACTGACTATTGCTCAGAACACTCTCGACAAGGAAATAAGACGTGAAAAAGAAATTAAACCTGGAATTATGCAGAAGGGGAAAATAATATTATTATATTGAAGTCAATAGCATTGAGAAACAGAAAATTTGAAGGGCTTCATGAAATTATTAGCACAAAAAAAGATTTTATGATCAGATGAAGGGGTTCTTGTTCATCCTCAAGGATTTATTTTTTATGAAATGGCAGGAAACATAATAACCCAAGAGACTGTGACCAGGCATGGGTGTTTGGCAAGGACAATCTGCATGGGGAGCAGCAATGGGGGTAGCACCTGTGTGAGCTGCTGGTCACAGCAGTTGGTCCTTCTGTGTAGCTCCTGTTATCTAGAAAATCATCCAGGAAAAAAGAGTCCAGCCATAGCCCAAGTGCAACACAAACTACCTAGAAATCAACCAAACAAGAAACTCTGGGAGCCTATATGATGAAAACCAAAAACTTTATAACTTAGTCAAGACTCCTTGTAGCTATTGCCCTATGTCAGTTAGTGGTTGAAAATTCACAGCGTTGTAAAATCTCAGCATTCCCTCAAAATTAATTCATAGGTTCAAGGCAAACAATTTCAAGGGTGTTAAATTTTATATATTAATCAAACCAAATCAACATTTAAACGGAAGAATGTATCAGAACTAAGTGCAGAGAATTCTGAGAGAGAAGATTAGTGAAACTTTCGTTACTAAATATACTATAAACTATAATATAAGAGCAAGGATAGAGAACTAGATAATTGACAGATATTCTAGAAATGGACACTTTTTAAGTATAAATAAAGTGTAGGAGTAAGAGAGCATCCAAAAACTTACAGGGAAAAAGGCTCCTGAATAAATGGAATAGGGAAAATTGACTTTGTCTTCTTAAAACTTTCTCTAGTATTAAAAAAAATCAGCCTGAGGGTTGGGGACATAGCTCAGAGGTAGAACACTTACCTGGCATGCATGAGACCCTGGCGTACATCCCCAGCACCACTAAACAAAATCTTCCAACATGAAAGAAAATGTATATATACACACACAAGATAGCTAAAGTAATTGTACTACTAATTTCTATTGGTTTATTGAAAGGAACAGCCAATGTTGCATGTCTATATCTGGTAATCTGAACAACTACTTTGAATATAACAATAAGCAATATGACAACCATTGTTAATTTCCTATCATCTTGTTTTGAAATTCTGTGTTTTATTTTTAAATTCTCTTTAAAATTAAAAAAAAACAACCAACAGATTGGAAGAACTATTGTAAAATATTTTCAGGAATGATACTGCTCCAATTTATTATAAGAAAGAGATCATACAGATGGGCAGGAGAGCTACTCTGGGTCTCAGTAGAGGAGCAAGCAGAACACCACAAATGCAGTTCATGAAAGAAGCAGCAGGACCCGAGCCAGCCAGCCCTCAGGAAGTATGGTGTGACGGTGCGGCTCAGAGACCTGCTGTCCCTCTGACAGTACCTGTTTTGTCCGTCTAGTGGGGTATGTGAATCCTATCCTTTTCATGTCTATGCATTTCATGTCTAAGCTCGTATGCTCCCCTCCTGTGTCCCAGAGCCCTGGCCTCCTTGTGGCACATGAGATCACATGCCAACACCCTGCTTCCCTCTGAGCTCTATATCACAGGCAGTGTAAAATCTCCCCAAGGCAGGCTTTGTGTCCTGTGTCCACTGTCAGCTTGCACATGATGCTTGTCCCTCTTGGAAGGCCCTGGGGTAGGCATGGGGGAGTGTGGGTCAGAGGAGGCTGGCTGTGGGCCAGGAAGCAACTTACACCAAGGGAGCAGCTGAGAGAGGTGGAGGTAACCTCAGCATGGGGCTGCCCCCTGGCCAGCTGTGTTCACCTGATCCCTCTCCTGCACCCTGCATCTGTCTGAGGAAGGGACTGGATCCTCAATATCACCCCTCCCTTGCTCTGCCAACCAAGGTTTGGGAGAGCTTTACTTTCTGCAGCTTGTATCAAAAACAATTGCGAGTTTTGTTTCCCCAAAATAAAATTCAGTATCCTTTTTGCCACACTACACATTGCCTTCCAGCTCTGAGCTGGAGTGTGATTGGGACAGAGAAGGGTGAGCCTTTCCAGGTGTACACATGGTCACCAAGATCAATTCCAGTCTGAAATGTTCTTAACTCAGAGGTGAGGGTGAAAAAGTTGGCTTAAAAATACTAAAACTGCTGGGCTTGGTGTCTCATACCTGTAATCCCAGCACTCAGGAGGCTGACGCAGGAGTATTGCTGTGAGTTTCAGGCCACCTGAACTGCATAGTGAAACCCTGTCTCAAAATACTGAAACCAATGTTGTGTGGAACTTTAGCTCAGCAGGAAATAAATTTTAAGTTTGACAGTTAGAGACATTTTTGATACACTGAGTCAATCAATTAAACTCCTTTATAAAGGACTTCTTGGTGCATTTTAAATAGAGATTGGTCTCTCCAAGAAAGAGGCTACCTGCACAGCTTTTTCCTAACGCCAGGGGTTTGACCCCATGGAACCCTTTCCCTGGAAGACCTGAAGGGACTGCTGTTCCTTAAGAAGTGATGACTTTCATTTTCATGCCTATTTGTTCCAGCAGCGACTGGGCTCTTTATCTTTGACACTTCATTCGTTTTAGCCTCCATTTCAGAAAAAAAAAGAAAAGAAAAGAAAAGAAAAGTGCTCACCAGGAGCATGGAAATGGTAAAGCTGTGAGGTCAGCACTGTGTGTGCGGTGGGGCTGTCACGAGCCCCATAGGTCCCTGCCTACGGGGAGAGAATGACCGTGGAAAGGGACATTTTTCCTTGAGCACTTACTGTGTGCGGTGGTTAAAAACAACAGTTCTCAGGGCTTCATGAACATCACAGAGAGGCTGAGTTTGGGTTTTGTTTATTAGTGTTGGAAAACTCCTCTAGGGCCTGTGAGTGGACGAGTTTGAGCTGACCTTCGGATGTGTTTATTAGATGTGGTGTCTTTGGACCGCACTGTGGACAGCTGTCCTGTAACTCTGTTCTGCTAGGAGGGCAGGGCAGGAGCCACACACCACACCGCCCCGTGGGCAGCCTGGGCACCGACCTCTGCTCGTGGCGCCACGTCCCCATCTCTAACAGCGTAGTTTCCTTGAATCCAGGCTGCTTCTCGAAGCGTTTAGTGTGGACTGTGTCGCCCGGGATGCACAGGAAATGTGCCCTCCCGCATGCCACCTTCTTCTCTAATATTTATCATCTGGTGAGGGAGAGCCAGGGGCCTGGGCCCCATGTGGTCCCTGGCCCACCTTGCTGCCTGGCCTGATGCTTTCAGAGCACCAGACCTGGCCATGCTTGTCATGCGTGGGGGGCCAGGTAGGGCTTCTAGTCCAGACTTGGGTGGGGCCTGGCCTTCTCCCTGAGCACAGTGTTGAGGCAGGACAGGGCACTGGCAGTGCTGCTGCGGGGCTGTGACCCTGGGAGGTGGTACCATCGTGGACCAGGGCTTGGTACCCACATAGCTCCCCCAAGAGCTCCCTTGCTGCCTGGGTCCCTACCATCTTATCTGCTTCCAGGTGAGCCGAGGCAGGAGTCCCTGAGGGAAGCTGCCGTGCTGCACTGGTTCCTTTGCTGATTTGAGCACCAGATTTGGGGGTCATGCCCAGAGGAGAGGGGGTGCCCAGAGAGGGAGGAAGGCCTCACCTGAGCCCTGTGCTGGGTGATGGCTGAGCCGTTGCAGCATCCTGGCCCGGGGCTGTGTTCCAGAGTGCAGCTTTCTTGCTTGTTGCTGGGTTTTCCTGGCATTGACAAAACCTCTTGTCTTTTAAACTTCCAGAAATGGCTTCTGACATACCTGGCTCAGTGACGTTGCCCGTTGCCCCCATGGCGGCCTCTGGACAGGTGAGGATGGCTGGGGCCATGCCTGCCCGAGGAGGAAAGCGGCGTTCCGGGTAAGCAGTTTCCAGGAATCGGACTTAGTCAGTGTTGAGCAATGCTCTTGACCTGTTAGGAAAATATTGTTTTCCCCTTGAAAGGGGAAAAGTGTAACAGAAAAATTGTTCTTTTTAAAACTTTGTTTTTTTGAAACTGCTTAGCTTCATGGCTTTGTCATTACTTTCTTGACCCCAGTGACCACGAGAGTGTAACTGAACATGCAGGATACGTGGTTGTACCACTGTACCAAGCTTCCTGAACTGATGATCGTTAATCTACCCTTGTAACCGACGATCTCACCCTGCCAGCTAATCAGAAGAGCGGCCAGGCTGTTCTGTCTCGAGTTTGTGCCTCCTCTCTACCTCCTGCTTGTGCATCAGATAAAAGCCCTAGACCACCAGAGAGCAGGGCCTGATGTTCTGGGAATGATCCTGATCAGTGCCCATCCCTGTAAATAAATCTGCCTCCAAATCCTGGGTGTCCTTTCGGTGTTTCTGCTTGCCCTGGCACCCTCTCCTGCAGAATAAAGACTCAGCAGTTTGCATCCTGTTTAGATTTTGCAAGATTCCTAAATAGGCACGTGATTTGCTTCTGAGTGTTGGGGCCTTGGCATGCAGCTGGGACTCGTGTTTGCTTGTCTTTGTGGTGAGAATGTGCTCTGTGTCTCTGAGGGGAGAGACTCACCCCTAAGCCTGGGCACTCCGGCCCTGCCGCCCCTGTGCAGCTGAATTCCAGCCCTGGGCTGGAAAGGCTCCACCAGGGGCCCCTCCCTTTCTGAGGGCCACCCGACTTTTCACAGAACCGGCTGAAGCACGGCAGGCCCGGCTTTCGTAGGATGCGGCTCAGCTCCCATGGCTGCTGACAAGTGCTGTGGAGTGTGCTGGTTCTGATAGGGCCAGGAAGACCGTCACTCGTGGGCAGTTGGAGCCAAGAGCCACATCTACTGCTGGACAATGTTTGTCTCTGTGCAGAGAATTAAAACTGAAACAAACACCAGATTCCTGCAGGAAAAGCAGAACTGGCATTTTCAGGCTCAATGTACCACTCAGCCCAGTTCGCCACTGAGTCCATTTTATTTTTAATGACGTAGTTGATAAACACGGTTTCTTGTGCAGCTGAATCACTTTGCCTCTTTGATGTGGTTTCTGGTAACGCATGGCTCCTGGGGCTGCAGCCGTCCAGGTACAGCAGAACATGCTTCTCACAGCCCGAGCCCTGGGGGGACGTAAGGCCCAGGGCAAGGAAGGGCGCTTTACCACCCGCTACACCTGGGCCTGCTTTTGAGTAGTCCAGATTTTCAGCTTGAGAGATTCTTAAAGCAGTGTGATTTGTAAAGGGGCCAGTCAGAGGCGGGGGAAAGGTAGGCATCAGGGCTTGGGGTAGAGGGAGGCTGGGATGGAAAAGCTGCCCAGAATCATAACTGTAGGTGATAAATAACTGATGTGGAGGAGGCCCTGAGAGTTCGTGGTCATTGAGAGGGTTCGGAGCGCTGTGAACCGAGCCTAGAGGTCGGGCCAGTGTGCCTTGACCCAGTGCAGTCACTCTGGTGCCTGGGCAGCTGTCCTCTGTCCACACTGTCACCTCCCCACAGTGGGGCCAGCGGAGCTGACATGGGCTGTGCTGGTGCCCAGGCAGAGCTCTTCTGGAATACAGGATGAGGCTTGCCTTAGGGACTCACTTTGAAGCACATTTCCTATTTTAACCGGCTACTCTTGCTAAGTGCTAAGCTCAGCACACTCTGGGTTGTTAAAAGTATGTGTGTGGTGCAGTGTCAGTACATGAGTTTTTAGAATTCCAGGTCTTATACAGTTATTTTAAGTGGTATGCCCTCACTTGCAGGTGGCGAAGCCGCCCTTCCCCTGCGGGTTGGCCTGTAGACAAGGCCTGGCAGAAAGGGGCTGAGGCGTTCTGGTCTACCTGGAGCAAGGAGGCAAAACATCAAAAGAACTGAGAGTTGGAGTGGGTTGGGAGTGCCTGCTGTCACAGCACCTGCAAGGAGGACCAGCCTGGTGCCTCTAACCTTGACCTTCCCCGAGGAGCCCATCCTTCCTGTCCTCAGTCTGGGTCCCATGTCTCCCAGGCAGACAAAGGAGCAAGTTAATCAAGTCTCCATTTGTGAGCCTGTGTGACTTAGGGCCTCATCCCGTGTCTAAGCACAGGGATGGCTGCTTTTGCAGAGCTGTTTCCATAGTAATTTGTGCATCTGACATTTTTCACGTGTTGCTGCAGTTCTGTGATCAGGTTCACCACTGCTCTGATGAAGCCCTTTGATAACAGTCTCAGCCACTTCCCAAGCTCTTAGCTCAGGGCACAGGAGACACCAGTGGGGGCCACAGTCATCACGAAGCAGGTAAACCGGTGGCAGGGCCTGTACCGCCGCTGTCCCTCTCATCAGCATGTGGACACCAGCCCTGCCTTCTCCCCAAGACAGTGGGGCACACTTGGGGAGAGGCATGGAGAGAAAAGGGGCCTCTTCTCCTCCTGCTGAGCTTCTTGCTGGCCCTCTGGTACAGAGATGGCTCAAGTTTTCACAACAATCACCCATCCTGCAGTAGTATTTTAAAGCCAGGTAGAACTGACCCTTGAGGGCTTTGGATCCCCCTGGCCACCCCTGGCTGCCCGGGGCCCAGAGCCAAGATCCTTTCTGCATGCTGCTGGCCTCTGCTGTAAGTGTCCTAGTGAGCCCTGGCCTCTGCTGGTGGCTGGGACCCAGGGCGGGGTTCGGAGGGCTCAGATTCTTTCCACCGTGATTCCTTGTGAGGAGAAGTGGGTTGCAGCGAGTCACTAAGGTGCGCTCTCGTGGTCGCCTTCCTGGTCGCAGTGAGTGAGGGTGGCCATAGGGCGGCTCCATGCCTCTAGGGTCAGGGAAGCAGTGTCACGGCGCCCCCTGTAGGGGATGGAGGGTGAGGTTGACGGCAGGGCTGTACCAGTTGCTTCTGCAGCACTGGAGCCCTGTGCTGTCTCAGATGTTGCTGCTGGAGGACAGACTGTGTGTGGCTACACACCAGGCCCATGTACTGCTGCAGGTGGCTTTACATAAGCAGACGTCACTAGGCTGGGATTTGTGTCCAGGCAGCGGGGCCCAGGCTCTGGGGAGAGGGTTTTCCACACCCTGGGCATGCGGCTGGCAGGAGCATCGGGCCCAGCCATGGTGTCTAGACCCATCTAAGGGGCATGGCTTTTACCTTTTCTCTTTAGAGCCTGAGGGGACTTGGCCTGATGACTCACCTTTGATGGGGCACTGTTACTATTGCACAGCCGCTGTAGGAGATTGGTATGTCTCACATGTAACAACATGCTCAGAAATGCCCCTCGTGTCCATCGTGAGCCGCCAGCAGCTCTGATAGGACTGGAAGGCCAGGCTCCCACTCACCGTGCAAGTGCTCGTGTGTCACCCACTCACAGCCCTGAGTTCTTTAATGTGAATACAGTAGGGCTGAGAGTCTATTTTCATTTCTCTTTTATTATCCAGATGCTTCAGTATAGTACAGACACATAAAAGACATAAAAAGGATGATTTATTTAGGCTTTTTATAGCAGAAATAAGCATAGCTTATTGTGGGCATATTTAAAATAGAGCTGGGCATGGTGACGGAGACCCACAGGTGGATCTTGGCAAGTGTTGCTCTGAGAAATACTTTGTGTCCTTTAATTTGCACCCCCTACCACTCTGCACCCTCTCTTACTGGGAATTGGACTCAGGGCCTTCACACTGAGTTGCATTCTTGGACCATTTATTTTTTTCATTTTAAGACAGGGTCTCACTAAGTCATCAAATTGCCCAGGCTCAGCTCAAACTTGCAGTCCTCCTGCCTCAGCCTCTTGAATGCAAGAATTGAAGGTCTACACCACTGCCCCTTGGCTGCATTTTTTGTCTGTTGCAGATGAGCCAGTAAGACTATTTTGGGGTGGGGGAGCTATCCTGATGATCTGACAGTCATGTGGGACCTGATGTATCTCCTAGCTTGGTCCCCATGTTGTGCTTTCCCCATGTACCAAATCTGATGCTGCACATATGAGGTTGCACTGGTGCACAGGGGCAGCAAGATTCCATTTCCTAATTTTTTGTAGACAAATCCTGGTTTCCAGGTTCTCAGTGGACTTCAGACTTCCCTGGGTCCCGACCAGACCATCTCCATTTTCTGTCCCGACCTGGCCAAGCTGGGAACCCTACACACAGCACATTTCCCCGTATGTCTGTGCTAAAAGGAGATGACCAGCTGTGCTGGTTTGCTCGGGTCTCTCATTTTTAGCACTGATGTTCTGGACTCCAGGAACACTTTAGTCTCTAGAAAATGGGGACAGTGTGTCACTCTAAAACATCCCAAGGATGTGCAGACTAACAAGGGAGGGTTATAGGAGCCTGATGATCACACTTGCTATCAACCTGAGCTGGAAGGAATAACCATACATCTCACGCCCATTGGAGGCTTCGTTAAATGAGCTCTTTGGAATTTTGACATTGCTGCTGCTTTTTAACACTGAAACGTTTCTGATGTGGGCAGCAGAATTGCTCTTCCCCCCTATGAACACAGGGTGGCGGTGTGACTCCGTGTCGCGGCCGAACGCCCACGGATTAGGTTGCAGTGTTTTTGGTGGTTACCTCCCTGATGTAATTTCCAGGAAGGCCAGGTGAAGGCTTGGTAATCATGCAAAATATTGATGGATTTGCTTCATTTAAAAATTCATGCACTCATCTCCCCCTCGTCCACAACATAGACAACTCCGAAGCCAACGCCTGAGCCTGGTTCTGGCTTTGTGGCGGGTGCGTGTCTGAGGGTAGAGGTGGCTTTGCCTGTTCTTCCCCTTCCCTCTTTCCTTCCTGCCCACTGTCCCCTCCTTTGTGCAGAGCTATTTCTGCTATCATTACCACCATCTTTTCCAACTCCCTGATTCCTTTTGTTGTTATTCTTAGTGGTTAAGACCACACCCATGTCTCAGAACCGTGGGTCCAAATTGGCAGGGTCCCGTCAGTTGGTGCTGAACAACCCATGCCCAGGTTAGAACTCTGCACTGCACATTTAACAGAACACAGACAAGCAAAAGATACTATTTTCTTTAAAAAAAGAAAATATCCCTTTGCCTTACCTGGTCCCAGTCCTGAGGTTCCCTAGGTTACCCCAGAGCGTGGTGTATGTGGTTTGTCTCCCAGGGGCCTAGTAGGGTGCTTATGCACAGAGCAGGGGCTCCTCCTCTGCCCCCTACCATGTCCTGGCAGCCTTGATGACTGTGCCTTCCCCACGTCACTTTTAGCCCTTCAAGTCCTGCCCTCATGCCTGTGACATGGGCTCACTGACTCCAGGGCAGTCTCAGCTGTGGGCTTTCCATTCCTACGATGAGCTGCTCAGACTGCCGTTTCTCAGGGAAAGCAGATGCCGGTGAAGTCCCCACTCTGGCCTGACACCTGCGGTGCTAATATTAGATGATATGAGAGAGGCTTAGTGCTTTTGGGAAGCAGAGTTTGGGTTGTTAGATAAGCAGGCCTCCATAGAGACCTTAACCTTTACACTGAGAGGCCCAGGCAAGTGGAAAGCTGAGCGGTCAGTTGGTGAGCTTTAGCAAGCAGATGACCAACTCAAGCAACTCGGGCCGCAGACAGCCATGGTCCCCATTAGTTTGGTCCTGGACTTTATAGGACAGTGGCCTTAAATGTCTTTTTCACTGAGACTCAAGACCCGCCAAGTTTCCAGCAGCACAAGTACACCAGTAGGATATTTACCTTTCCCTGTTATCTCCTCATCACCCTGAAATCTTCTGGGTTTTAAAACCCATTAAGCTTTTTTAGCCTGTTAAAGTTTGTAAAAATACAACATAAGAAAATGTCAGTGTGGGATTAATGATGTGGAGGGAGCAGGTTTCCCCACAGACGGGAGGAGAAGGAGCCTTCACCTCTCCGATATGCAACCTCAGCAATCCATGGGAGCCTGGGCGGGGTTCTGGCAGACAAGGTGATGGATACCTGAGTGTACTCAACCACACAAGTACCAGCGCTCACACTGAAGACCCTCCCTGTCTTGAAGCTGAGTGGTGACTGTGTAGTTACTGCCTTTAGCACTGCCAAACAATTGGGCGCCTTGGCCAGCAGTTCGATAGGCTAGAGCTCCCTTGTTCCCCGTGTTCTGTCTCTGTGTAACCTGTGCTCACCTGTGACCTTGACTTTTCAGAATGGATTTCGATGATGAAGATGGTGAAGGGCCAAGTAAATTTTCAAGGTAAGTTTGTTTTACTTTCCTTAAAGACATCCATAGCTATTAATCACCTTGCTGAATTTCAGAGACTTAGTGTCTCTTGTCACTGGAAGATATTGCCCGTAGCCAGGCCCTCTTGCTCGTCCCTTATCCCATGCCTCAGTGACAGCCAGCTGTGAGCAGCCCTGCCGTGTCCCAGCCCAAATGACCACAGGTTAAGTAATGAGTTCTTGATCCTCTTCGCTTTTTAAGTTCAATAATGACTCGCACTGCTGTGATTCCTTTTTAGAAGACAGACCTGGAGTTCAAGTTTAGGAAAAACTAAAAGACGAGTCCTCTTTTTCTACCATGGAAAATAGAAATGTGAGAGACGTGAGTGGCCCTGCCTGGGATGCAGGACACAGAGCTCGCAGTGAGTTCCTAGGAACCGCGTCACTCCCTGGCCGCACAACAGCTTCGTGGGCTGGGTCTGTAGGGTCTCCTTGCAGAGGCATCCTGGGCCACGGAGGCCGGTGATGTTATTTATAGAAGTTCAGGACACAAAGGATAAGGTGGACGCAGCTTGGCGGTTCTTTGCTCCTTCCTTAGTTTGTTTTGAGGCGTGGCAGGAAGCGTGGTGATGTCACAAGGAAGGCACAAGTCCTCCCGTCACTCCCAGCAGAATGTGCGCCGCTTGCTCATGGGAGGGCCTGCACGATCCTCCCCAGCGCCCAGCCTCGGTGCTGATGAGCTCAAAAGCGTGCCACAGGGGCTCCTGTTTTTGCAGTTTGCACTGACGGCCTCAGGTGCTTAAGAGAGCTCTGCCCACACCGAGCCCTGGGCCCACTGAACGACCCACTTGCCCTCCCCAGGCAGTTGGTTTGGGATCTTGGTTTATTTCACTCATAACCAGAATGGCTGTGATTTCAGCACTTTCTCCTGCTAGTCCAAGAAGGATGACCCTTATTACTCTTCAGGGATTCCATGGTGAACTTCTTGTCATTCCATAAATGTTTCCCCCAGGAATGTGTCCATCCATTTCCTGGCTTCACTTTGGGGAAACAGGAGAGAGGGGCTGGGCTTCATTTCCATCACTAACGGCCTTCGGGTTTCTAATCAAAACAAGACGTATGTTTCAGCAACAAAAGCACAGACTGTTCTCCCTCAGTGCAGACAGGACCTGGCCCGGGAAGCCCCCGCTTTGAGGATGTGTCTTCACGGCAGGGAGTGCTTTGTTCCCGAGGAGGAGTTAACCTCGGAAATGAGGGCCCCATCTCCCCGCCCCGGCTTGCTCTTGCCGTACACAGCCTTCCTTCATAAGGAAACAATGGCTTCGGTTCCCCTGTGTCAAAATCACCCTTGAGATGACAGTCCACAGCGTGCCAACCTCAGGAAACGATGGTCCTGGGGTCTCAGGACATGGAGAGGAAGAGGGATGAGGAGTGACACTTGCTTGGCGTTGAAGATCTGTGTCAGTGATGAAATAACGGAAGAGACGGACAAAGAGCTCCTTGTCCAGGGCCCAAGCGCTAAGAAGCAGAGATGCTAACTGTGTTGCTCACTGTCTGTGAACCTGTGAGAGAGTCAGATTTTACACAATCCAGGTTCAAACACAGGCTTCTCTGAACCACACCGTTTCTGTACACATTAAAAACAGGAGGAGGTAGGGACGTGTGTCCAGCGTGTGCTTCTTATGGGCTGAGCCCCTAGGAGGCCAAGACCACCTTCCTCTATCACGTGGGGAGTTGGTGCCCCATGGCTGGTGGGAGAGGCTGCCGGTGCCCCTCCATTTCGCCTGTGGCTGTGGCCTGGTCCAGGGGAGGCATTTGAGGCTGCAGGACTGTTCTATGGGCCATGGGAGGCACACCGGGCTGCTCCTGTGTGCTCTCCTCCCATCACTGTCAGAGATGCCCCTCAGGCAAGACCCTGGGAGAGATGGAGACTGACAGAAGCTGGAACTCACCGCTGCTGGTGGCCCTGAACCAGGCAGGGTGCTGTGCCATGATTCCTGTGTTCTCATGTGTGGTCGCTCACCTTTCCCAGCTTTCCTTGAGGGTGGTCCCAGATGCGAGTGTTCTGCTTGTGATCAGCCCTCATGTCTCATTTCATTTGGGAAATGTGGCTATGGTCAAATGGGAGCTAAGTCATCACCAGATTGGTGTGGTTCCTGCCTGATTGCAGCTGGCCCATCACAGCAGGCCCAGTGGAACAAGGTGGTAGATGTGAAGCTGGCTACTGTTGCCTCATCGTATGTGTACACACACACACACACACACACACACACACAGAGTTACGTACACACACAGAGACACACATGCATGCACATGCACAGGCATGAATGCACATACATACACAGACACACACACATGCATGCACACACATAAGACAGAAACACATGAATACACACATGGATGTGCACACAGATACACATACAGAGACACCCATGTATGCACCCACAGATGTATGCACGCACAGAGACATGCATGTATACACAGAGACACATGCATTCACACACATACATGCATGCACACTCAGACATACAAGCACATATACAAGCACATGAGCACTCCAAACCAGGGCATACTTAGCCTGCTTCCAAACAACCCAAGGCCTGTGCGCACATGCTTTTGCTGCTTTGAGGCTGGAACATGCAGGACAAGGCTCTGTAAGCATTGACATTCCACCCCTCGTAGGAGTCAGAGTGCCTGTAGGGGCAGAGCCAGTTGCAGTGTGCTGAGGATAGCCTGGCAGGTGAGGGACCCCTGTCCTCACTGTGCGTGGGGGTGAGAGAGGATGAGGGCATGTGGCACTTGGAGATGTACCAGGTGTAGGAAGCCAGGAGAGCATCTGTGTGAGGAGGAGAGGTGAGGGGACCCAGAGATTTGGAAAATTCAGGGACGAGGCTGGGAGAGACAAGTCCAGAGTGTCAAGGGAGGCAGGGTGTCTCCGAGAGGACGTCTTGTAATCAGAGGCAGAGGAGGGAGACACAGATGCAGCTCACTGTGAAGCTGGCAGGTGAGCTGCAAGTTGGGAAGGAAACTGATGGTTTTCACTTTTGTGGTTGAGTAGGAGTTGGGGCCATATGCAGAATATGGTCAAACATTTAACAGTATGTTTGGGAGAGATTTGGGGTGCCCTGGATTGATTCAAAGAAGCTTACAGATGTTAAGTCCTTAGGCCCCACTTGAAATTGTGGACCGCAAAGCCAGGTATGGTGGCGCACACCTGTAATCCCAGCACTTGAAGGGCTGAGGCAGGAGGATCGTTGTGAGTTCGAGGCCAGCCTGAACTACATAGTGAGACCATGTCTCAAATCAAACAAACAAACAAAGAAATTATGGACCACAAATGTGATCGGCACCATTGCCTCCATCTCCAGGGATGCCTGGCTGGCTGGATGCAAAGTCAGGCTTCCACTGTCCCATGTTTTGGTGGAGCAGGTGCAGCAGACAGGGAGATCATGCAGTTGAGAGATTCATGGGGGGGGTCCTGAAGGGGCCAAGCTGGAGATCCAGCTGCAGAGGGGACAGGGAAGAGAAAGCTGATCCTGTGAGACAAAGGGAAGGGGCCAGAGACCACAAGGGGAATGCAGTCAAGGGAGAGCTCTGACTTAGTGGGAGTGTGAGAGGGTGGAGGAGCAGGACATTGTGGTGATACAGAGGGAGGTGGCAGCATGGGCGAGGCTGGCTGGGGTCTTCTCCTGGGGGAAGGGACAGTGAGGAGACAGAGTGAAGTGTGCACTTCTTGTGCAGATGCTGCAGGGTTGCTGGGCATGGGGCCCATGATGGCCAGGACAGGGAGCTTGAGGGTGGCAGTGTTAACAGGGGAAATAATACAACTCCCAGCCTGTTAGAGGTCAGATACGCTGAATTCATGTTCCCCAAAATCGAAGAATGAATTGTAAGGAACAGCAGAGGTTAGAAGTAGGAAAAAATTATTGACAGAGAGAGCTCCTGAGAGACCAGAGGGGACCTGAAAATGGGTTACCCATGAGCCCACTTCTCAAAGGAAGTTTTATAGATCAAAATCATGAGGCATTAAATAGATGTGCTTCCAGCCAAAGGTGTAATGTATGCTCATCCTCTGCACTCACTCCCTCAAGGGTCTATCCCTGACTGACTGCCTATAATGTTTTTATCTAGCTTAACTGTCTATAATATTCCCCCCTCTGAAGAGGTACCACTAAGGTACCCATGAGGGGACAAGGGGCAATGACTGGTCTGGCTACTTTTGGCTGAAGGGGGACACTGTTATGATTGGCAGTCAGAGATACTCCACAGAGGATTTATCTAAAGGCCCTTGATAGATGCTAGGTGGTCTTGTCTTGAGTAGGCATATAGCTTTAAATCTGGAGGAGACAAGGCCAAGGAAACAATTAAGTACGCATGGGCCAAATAATATCAACAAGGTTATTATGAATGCAACCAAAAAATGTTTCCACCAAGAAGAGCCAGTAATAGCCTCCCACAAAGAAGGTAAGGAGAAGGTCTAGGGAATTTCAGAATCTGACATGGCATTAACCTGTCATTTACTATCTTGAATAATCATCAAGATATTATCAGAAGATCAGGAATGTATGCACAACATTCAGCTTTTACAATTGCACAAGTACCCCCTTGTGTTGCTGTTAGGATGTCTAATTCATGATTCAGTACCCTACAGGCTGCTGAGCACGTTTTCAGTTCTGGATAAGCACTCCCATAGCCATGCCCAACCTTTCATCAAGGTACAGATAGAAATGGTGTCCTGTTGGTAGACTCATTGCTGGGAAATTTAAAAGCACTTGTTTAAGCTTCTGAAATGCAGTTCAGGAATCAGGTTCCTAGGTTAAAATATAGGCATCTGCCTTTTGGGCTTCTTTTATAAGCTGATAGAGGGGTCATATGACCTCACCATACCCTGCTATCCAAAGGTGACAAAAGCGTGTAATTCCTTGTAATCCCCTTAACTGTTTTAGGATCTAGGGGTGTGGGAAGGAAAGTATTGATTTAATTCTCTCTTCCCCCATCCTTCACATTCCCTTAGATATGGTAAGACCCAAGTAT